GTGAGTGGCCCAACTAGTGGAAGTAGGTCATGGTGATTTTGGACCAACTAGTGGAAGGGGTACAGGTGGTGGCCCAAACTAGTGGAAGTAGGTCAAGTGAGCTGGACAACTTGGGAATGGTCACTGGTGAGGGGACCAACTTTGGAATAGGCACGGGTGGTGGACCAACAAGGGGAAGAGGTCACGGTGGTTGGACCAACTGGGGAAAGGTCCAGGTGAGTGGCCCAACTGTGGAAGTAGGACGGTGAGCGGGCCAACAGTGGAATTTTAGGCATGGTATTTGGGACCAACTAGTGGAAGTAGGTCACAGGTGAGCGGGCCCAACAGTGGAAGTAGGTCAAGGTGGCTGGACCAACTAGTTGGAAGTAGGTCACGGGTTTATTTGGGACCAATAGGGGAAGTAGGCACGGGTGGCGGGCCAACTATTGGAAGTAGGACGGGTGGCTGGACCAACTAGTGGAAGTAGGTCACTGGTGATTGGACCAATAGTGGAAGTGGTCCAGGTGGCTGGACCCATGGGGAAGTGGGGTCACAGGTGGCTGGACAACTAGGGGAAATAGGTCACGGGTGGTGGACCAACTAGTAAATGGGCACTGGGAGTTGGCCCAAACTAGGGGAAGTAGGTCCAGGTGAGTGGCCCAATAGGGGGAAGTAGGTCACGGGTGTTTTGGACCAACATGGAAGAGGTCCGGTGAGTTGGCCAATAGTGGAAGTAGGCACAGTGAGTTGGCCCAACTAGTGGAAGAGGTCCAGGTGAGCGGACCAACTAGTGGAAGTAGGTCACAGGTGAGCTGGACCAACTAGTGGAAGTAGGTCACAGGTGAGTTGGACCAACTAGTGGAAGTAGGTCACAGGTGAGTTGACCAACTAGTGGAAGTAGGTCACGGTGAGCGGGGACCAACTAGTGGAAGTAGGTCACAGGTGAGCTGGACCAACTAGTGGAAGTAGGTCACAGGTGAGCTGGACCAACTAGTGGAAGTAGGTCACAGGTGAGCTGGACCAACTAGTGGAAGTAGGTCACAGGTGAGCTGGACCAACTAGTGGAAGTAGGTCACAGGTGAGCTGGACCAACTAGTGGAAGTAGGTCACAGGTGAGCTGGACCAACTAGTGGAAGTAGGTCACAGGTGAGCTGGACCAACTAGTGGAAGTAGGTCACAGGTGAGCTGGCCCAACTAGGGGAAGTAGGTCACAGGTGGCTGGACCAACTAGTGGAGTAGGTCACGGGTTTGAGCTGGCCCAACTAGTGGAAGTAGGTCACAGGTGAGCTGGACCAACTAGTGGAAGTAGGTCACAGGTGAGCTTTACCAACTAGTGGAAGTAGGTCACAGGTGAGCTGGACCAACTAGTGGAAGTAGGTCACAGGTGAGCTGGACCCACTAGTGGAAGTAGGTCACAGGTGAGTTGGACCCACTAGTGGAAGTAGGTCACAGGTGAGCTGGACCCACTAGTGGAAGGTCATGATAAACTCGGGTTGGCAATAGAGTTGCTGAATACATCCCTGGTATCTATAAACCGTGTTGTTATAGTGTTAGACAACACCAAGTTGTTGCAGGATTAGAGAGTTTGCCACCGAAGTGGCTAGTTTATTGTGCACCCCATATCCATCCTGTGGACGGTAGCGCAGGAGCATATAGATACACAAAAGACCTAGGAACTAGGCCGCAAAAGGGTTAACAGGTGTACATTTGGATTTATATGTACAGTTCAAATATCTGTTTCAAGCAAATTTAGGAAATTTGCTTAGTATATCTGGTATCTTATTTTCATTAATAAGATATCTTGACATGTCACATAGGTTATTATACTGTCTGTCTCTGTATTCCTCAATAAGTGGACAATTAAGCACATAGTGTTCAAGAGAGTGACCATATGCCTGATCACATAATTTACATTTAGTTTGATCATCATCTGTGTGTCTCCCAAACTGCCAGAAGTACTTGTAACCAAGCCTAAGCCTGGCCACTACAACATCAGTCAGTACTTGTAACCAAGCCTAAAGCCTGGCCACTACAACATCAGTCAGTACTTGTAACCAAGCCTAAGCCTGGCCACTACAACATCAGTCAGTACTTGTAACCAAGCCTAAGCCTGGCCACTACAACATCAGTCAGTACTTGTAACCAAGCCTAAGCCTGGCCGCTACAACATCAGTCAGTACTTGTAACCAAGCCTAAGCCTGGCCACTACAACATCAGTCAGTACTTGTAACCAAGCCTAAGCCTGGCCACTACAACATCAGTTCAGTACTTGTAACCAAGCCTAAGCCTGGTCACTACAAACATCAGTCAGTACTTGTAACCAAGCCTAAGCCTGGTCACTACAACATCAGTCAGTACTTGTAACCAAGCCTAAGCCTGGTCACTACAACATCAGTCAGTACTTGTAACCAAGCCTAAGCCTGGTCACTACAACATCAGTCAGTACTTGTAACCAAGCCTAAGCCTGGTCACTACAACATCAGTCAGTACTTGTAACCAAGCCTAAGCCTGGCCACTACAACATCAGTCTGTGTTCACATTGTCAGTTGCTTCTTAAACATACTTATCCATGTTCATGTTATCATAGTGGGTTATAGATCTACTGCATTGTTGCAGGGTCACACAACACCATGGTGTTGTAGTGTCAGACAACACCATGGTGTTGTAGTGTAAGACAACACCATGGTGTTGCAGTGTCATACAACACCATTGTGTTGCAGGGTCACACAACACCATGGTGTTGCAGTGTCAGACAACACCATGGTGTTGCAGTGTCATACAACACCATTGTGTTGCAGTGTCAGACAACACCATGGTGTTGCAGTGTCAGACAACACCATGGTGTTGCAGTGTCATACAACACCATTGTGTTGCAGGGTCACACAACACCATGGTGTTGCAGTGTCATACAACACCATGGTGTTGCAGTGTCATACAACACCATGGTGTTGCAGTGTCAGACAACACCATGGTGTTGCAGTGTCAGACAACACCATGGTGTTGCAGTGTCAGACAACACCATGGTGTTGCAGTGTCATACAACACCATGGTGTTGCAGTGTCATACAACACCATGGTGTTGCAGTGTCATACAACACCATGGTGTTGCAGTGTCAGACAACACCATGATGTTGCAGTGTCATACAACACCATGGTGTTGCAGTGTCATACAACACCATGGTGTTGCAGTGTCAGACAACACCATGGTGTTGCAGTGTCAGACAACACCATGGTGTTGCAGTGTCAGACAACACCATGGTGTTGCAGTGTCATACAACACCATTGTGTTGCAGTGTCAGACAACACCATTGTGTTGCAGTGTCAGACAACACCATGGTGTTGCAGTTTCATACAACACCATTGTGTTGCAGTGTCATACAACACCATTGTGTTGCAGTGTCAGACAACACCATTGTGTTGCAGTTTCATACAACACCATTGTGTTGCAGTGTCATACAACACCATTGTGTTGCAGTATCATACAACACCATTGTGTTGCAGTGTCATACAACACCATTGTGTTGCAGTGTCATACAACACCATTGTGTTGCAGTGTCAGACAACACCATTGTGTTGCAGTTTCATACAACACCATTGTGTTGCAGTGTCAGACAACACCATGGTGTTGCAGTGTCAGACAACACCATGGTGTTGCAGTGTCAGACAACACCATTGTGTTGCAGTGTCATACAACACCATTGTGTTGCAGTGTCATACAACACCATGGTGTTGCAGTGTCATACAACACCATGGTATTGCAGTGTCAGACAACACCATGGTGTTGCAGTGCCAGACACCACAACTTAATGAACCTTGTGTAGTCGATAAGGTATAAAAACCATTAACCAACCAGTGCAAAATATTAATAAATTATCTTATGGACGCAGGAAGGATATCAACATTGTATGATACGCTGCTATATACATAGATTTAGTCTTTAAATGGTAGGCTAGATGGTGCTTAATTACCTTTAATGAAAACCTATGTCAGTGTTGTTTCCTGACTAACAAAACACCACCAGGGAATGGGAAGATTTCTTAGATGTTGCTTTGTGCTGATTATAATTTTTTTCCTTATTTTTTATATGGGGTGACAAACCTAGCATTTTATTTCATAAGAACTACGACAAAATTTTTTTTCATATTTGTCTCGATGAATACAATACCAGCAGTGGACAGGCCCACGAGAGATGTATCTCTCTGGGTGTACATATATTGAGAGTTTATTACGATCCCTGCTTAATAGATTAAGATAATCTTGACTAGTGATGTATAGGAGAAATGGTGTCTTATTCATTCTGGTACAATAAGCTTTAAAAATAAAAAACGAGCCAACCAATGTATAACTATAATCTAGTTGACGGATCTGATAGACAATAAACAATGGATGAGAGAAAATTAACTCAGCATAGTTGGACCAACATTTTCCACTGTCTGTAACAAGTCATGTGAGGCCTTATTGTAAGTACAAGTTCTCAACATTCCTGATTTACTTCCTTTACAGTTTACAGTATACCTGGAGTTTACCTGGAGAGAATTCCGGAGTTCAACGCCCCCGCGGCCCGGTCTGTGACCAGGCCTCATGCTGGATCAGGGCCTGATCAACCAAGTGTATATAATCATGTATCTCTCCCGCCTGCGTTCTAGGGAGCACAGGTTTACGAACTTCTCACTGACATCACTTGATAAGTTTCCTCCATAAATGGAAAGTATAAAAATTAAGTCAAATGACCACATCAAAGCCCCGGCCCAAAGATGGTTACAAATTCACCTTACAGAATATGTATTTTGTGTAATATTAAACAAAATTCCCATTAAATTAATAATGATATTAATAGCAGGGACATATTTTGAAGCGAGTTACTTTACTAACACAACTGTTTCCTTGTAAAATGTATTCATAATCTGTTAGCCTAAGCCATGTATAAGCTTTATGTGTAAATAAGAGAGAGGGGAGGCAGGGGATGGTTAAGACTGATTCCCATAAGCAGCCGAAGTGACAACAAAGATCAGTGAATCAACACGACTCGAGTCACTCTTACACCCCAGCTCGTGTAGTCATCTGGTGGATGGAACTTCTAAGCAATCTGGATGTATCATGAAAAATAAGATGAGGGAAGGAAGACTCACCCATGGTTTGACACTCTATGTTGTCCTGCGACACCTCCACCTTCATGTTGACAGCTAGCAGCAGGAAGGCCACAAGGTAGGCCAGTACATAACTCAGTAGGATCCTCCCCGCCAGCGTGTTGACCTGCAGTGGTAAAAGATAATAACAGCACACTAGTGGTGAAGTCAAGCGCTTGTGCTATCTTTCCCAGCAGTCAGTGGAAAACGTGTTATCTTCCCCAGCAGTCAGTGGAAGACTTTAGTCACAGCACATCAAGGGTCAGATCAGGTCAGATCTTCGCAGTGGTCCGTATGAGAGGCTGATTATAGGCCATTACGGGTTATGTTAAATGTTTGTTATCTTCCCAGTGGTCATTGTGAGAGGCTGGTCATAGCTCCCCAAGGTCCATGTTAAGGGTTTGTGTTATCTTCCCGGTGGCACCAAGAGAACTGGTCATAGTGCACTAGGTGTCAATCATATCAGGTGTGTTTATTTCCCAAGTTGTAGGTGATCAAAGTAAGTTATGCAAGCCTCCCGGGTATATTATTATTTGTTAGTGATACCGCTGTAAAGTAAAAAAAAAAAAAGTTTTCAACATACCTTTTTGACGGTTACAAGGCCCCTTCTGACGCGGGTGGAGATGAGGGAGAAGGCGGTAGCAAAGAGAGCGGCACAGGAGAAACCCAGCAAAACTGCGGTCAGACCAAATTTCTCTGTGTGCACGTCCATGCCCTTCCACGTATCCGGACACACCAACACGATTGGGCGGATGTTTGAGCCGTCAACGCCGTACTCGAGGCAGTAGTTCTCACGACGAAGGAGCTGCCTGCCGAGGACGCACCTTCCTTCCACGCTTACCACCTCCAGTGCCTGTCCCGCCACCAGCTCCACGTGGTCGTCAAAAGACGTAGGGTCAATGTAATAGTAATGATATCCTTCTTCAGATCCTGTACTCCACCAGAGCACTCCAACACCCATCCTGTACTCTTCCAGAGCACTCCACACCCATCCTGTACTTCTACCAGAGCCTCCAACATCCATCCATGTACTCTACCAGAAGCACTCCACATCATCTGTACTCCACCAAGGAGCACTCCAAACCCAAATGTACTCTACCAGAGCACTCCAACACCATCCTGTTACTCACCAGAGCACTCCAACACCCATCCTGTACTCTAACCAGAGCCTCAACACCATCTGTACTCTACCAGAGCACTCCAACAACCCATCCTGTTACTCTACCAGAGCATCTCACATCCATCCTGTACTTAACAGAGCACTCCAACACCCTCCTGTACTTCACCAGAGCCACTCCAACACCCTTCCTGTACTCACCAGAGCACTCCAACACCCATCCTGTACTCCACCAGAGCATACAACACCATCTGTACTCTACCAGAGCACTCCAACATCATCCTGTACTCCACCAGAAGCACTCCAACACCATCCTGTATTCACCAGTAGTCCAACACACGTCCTGTATCCACCAGAGCACTCAACACCATCCTGTACTCTTACCAGAGCACTCCAACACCATCCTGTACTCTACCTGAGTACTCCCACACCTCATCCTGTACTCACCAGAGCACTCCAGCTCCTATCCTGTTACTCACCGAGGCACTCCAACACCCATCCTGATACTCACCAGAGCACTCAACACCCATCTGTTACTCCTCCAGAGCACTACCAACTCCCATCCTGTACTCTATACCAGAAGACACTTCCAACACCATAGTTTACTTCTACCAGAGCACTCCCACACCATCCTGTACTCCACCAGGCAACTCAAGCTCCTATCTTGTACTCCACCAGCAGCACTCCAACACCATCCTGTACTCCACCAGAGCACTCCAACACCATCCAGTACTCTACCAGAGCATTCAAATACACCACATCCTGTACTCCACCAGCCGCTCCAACATCCTCCTGTACTCCTCCAGAAGCACTTCAAACACATCCTGTACTCCACAGCGCACTCCAACACCATCCTGTACTCCACCGGTGCACTCCGAACACCCATCCTGTATCCACCTGAGCACTCCAACACCTCATCCTGCTTCTCCCCAGTGCCACTCAACAACCCATCCTGTACTCACCAGGAGCACTCCAACACCATCCTGTACTCCACCAGAGCACTCCAACACCCTTCCTGTACTCCACAGAGCACTACAAAACCCATCCTGTTCTCCACCAGAGCACTCCAACACCCATTCACTGTACTCACCAGAGACACTCAACACCCATCCTGTACTCCACCAGAGGCACTCCAACACCCATCCTGTTCTCCACCAGAGCACACCAACACCCTTCCTGTACTCACACCAGAACACTCCAACACCATCCTGTACTCCACCAGAAACACTCCAACACCATCCTGTTAATCCACCAGAGCACTCCAACACCATCCTGTACTCACCAGACACTCCAACACCCATCCTGTACTACACCAGGCACTCAACACCATCCTGTACTCCACCAGAGCACTCCAAACCCCATTCTGTACTCCACCAGGAGCACTCAACACCCATCCTGTACTCACCAGTGCACTCACAACACCCATCCTGTACTCCACCAGAGCACTCCCATACAAATTCCTGTACCTCCACCAGAACACTCCAACATCCATCCTGTACTCCAACCAGAGCACTCAAAACAACCATCCTGTACTCCCACCAGAGCACTCCAACACATCCTGTACTCCACCAGAGCACTACAAAAACCCATCCTGTACTCCCAGAACACTCCAACAACCATCCTAGTACTCACCAGAGCACTCCAACAACCATCCTGTTACTCCACCAGAACACTCCAACACCATTCCTTACTCTACCAGAGCACTCAACTCCATCCTGTACTCCACCAGAACACTCTCAACACCCCATTCTGTACTCCACCAGGAGCACTCCAACACCCATCCTTTACTCCACCAGAACCTCCAACAACCAACTGTACTCCACCAGCGCCCCATCCACCAAACATCCTGTTCTCACCAGAACTCTCCAACCAACCATCTGTACTCTACCAGAACACTCCAAACAACCCAACCCTGTACTCACCAGAGCACTTCCAACAACCATCCTGTCTCCACAGGAAACACTCAACAACCATCCTGTACTCACCAGTGCACTCCCACAACCATCCTGTACTCTACCAGAACACTCCAACAACCATCCTGTACTTTACCAGAACACTCCAACAACAATCCTGTCTCACCAGAGTACTTACACAACCATCCTGTACTATACAGAGCACTCCAACAACCATCCTGTACTCCACCGAGCACTCCAAACAACCATCCTTTACTCCACCAGAGGCACTCAACACCTCCTGTACTCTACCATGAGCACTCAACAACCATCCTGTACTCACTAGAGCACTCCTACAACCACATGTACTCCAAACCAGAGCACCCAACAACCATCCTCTGACTCCACCAGAACACTCAACAACATCTGTACTCACCAGAGTACTCCAACAAACATCCTGTACTCTACAGAGCATCCATCAAACCATCTGTACTCCACCAGAGCACTCCAACAACCATCCTGTACTCCACCAGAGCACTCCAACACCCATCCTGTACTCCACCAGAGCACTCCAACAACCATCCTGTACTCCACCAGAGCACTTCCAAAAACAACCATCCTGTATCACAGAGCATCCAAAACATCCTGTACTCACAGACGCCTCCACAACCATCCTGTACTAACCAGTGCACTCCAACACCCATCCTGTACTCCACCAGAGCACTCCAACACCCATCCTGTACTCCACCAGAACACTCCAACAACCATCCTGTACTCCACCAGAACACTCCAACAACCATCCTGTACTCCACCAGAGCACTCCAACACCCATCCCTGTACTCCACCAGAATAATCCAACACCCATCCTGTACTCACCAGAGCACTCCAATCCACATCTGTACTCACCAGAGACTCCAACACCCATCCTGTACTCCCACCAGTACACTCCAACACCCTATCCTGTACTCCCAGAGCACTCAACACCATCCTGTTACTCCCACCAGAGCACTCCAACACCCATCCAGTACTCCACCAGAGCACTCAACCCCTCCTGTACTCCACCAGAACACTCCAACACCCATCTTGTACTCCACCAGAGCACTCCAACAACCATCCTGTACTCCACCAGAACACTCCAACACCCATCTTGTACTCCACCAGAGCACTCCAACAACCATCCTGTACTCCACCAGGAACACTCTACACCTCCATCTGACCTCACTGAGCACTCCAACACCATCCTGATACTCCACCAGAGCACTCCAACCCACCCATCTTGTACTCCACCAGAGCACTCCAACAACCAACCTGTACTCCACCAGAGCACTCCAACAAACCCATCCTGTACTCCACCAGAAACACTCCAACACCAATCTCGGTAATCCACAGAGCACTCCAACAAACCATTCCCTGTACTCCACAGAACACTACAACACCCATCTTATACTCCACCAGAGCACTAACTCCAAAAACTAACCTTACCCACCAGAGCACTCCAAACAACCATCTGTACTCCACCAGAAAACATCCACAACCACCTGTTACTCTCACCAGAACACCTCCAACACCCATCTTGTACTCCCCCAGAACACTCCAACACCCATCTTGTACTCCACAAGAGACTCCAACAAAACCATCCTGTACTCCACAGAAAACACTCAACACCCATCTTGACTCCACAAGAACACTCAACACCATTCTTGTTTACTCATCAGAGCACTCAACAACATCCTGTACTCCAACCAGAAACACTCCTAACAACCATCTGTTTCTCCACCAGAAAACTCCCACACCCATCTTGTAACCACCAGGCACTCAACAACCATCTTGTACTCACCAGAGCCACTCCAAAACCATCCTGTACCTACCCACCCCAGACACACTCCAACAACCTCCTGTACTCAACAGGAACACTCCAACACCCATCTAGTACTCCACCAGAACACTCAACACCATCCTGTACTCCACAGAACACTCAAACACCCAATCTTGTACTCCACCAGACACTCCAACACCCATCTTGTACTCACCAGAGACTCCAACAAAAACCATCCTGTACTCCACCAGACACTCCAACAAACCATTTGTACTCCACAGAACACTCCAACATCCATCCTGTGCTCACCAGACTCACTCCATCACTCATCTTGTACTCCACCAGAACACTCCAACACCCATCTTGTACTCAACCAGAGCATCCAACAAACATCCTGTACTCACAGAAACACTCCCAACACCCATCTTGTACTCCACCAGAAACACTCCATACACCCTATGTTACTCCACCAGAGCACTCCAACAACAATCCTGTACTCCACCAGAAACACTCCAACACCCATCCTGTTCTCCACAGTGCACTCACAACCATCCTGCTACTCCAACCAGAACACTCCAACACCCATTCTTGTTACTCCACCAGGAACTCCCAACACCCATCTTTTATCCACCAGAGCATCCAACAAACATCCTGTACTCACCAGAACACTCCAACACCCATTCCTTGTACTCCACCAGAGCACTCCAACAAACCATCCTGTACTCACCAGAACACTCCAAACACATCCTTGTCTCCACCAGAGCACTCAACAAACATCCTGTACTCCACAGAAACACTCCAACAACAATCTTGTACTCCACCAGAGCACTCCAACAACCATCTTGTACTCCACCAGAGCACTCCAACACCCATCTTGTACTCCACCAGAGCACTCCAACAACCATCTTGTACTCCACCAGAACACTCCAACAACCATCCTGTACTCACAGAACACTCCAACAACCATTGTATCCACAGGGCACCTCAACAACATCCTGTACTACACCAGAACACTCCAACACCCATCCTGTACTCCACCAGAGCACTCCAACAACATCCTGTACTCACCAGACATCACACCCATCCTGTACTCCACAAGAGCACTCCAACAACCATCCTGTTCTCCACAGAAACAC